GCAACCCCCCCCCCCGCCGTAGTTAAACAAGAGAAGTGAAAGCATACCTGAGGTATGTAAAAGAGTCCCAGCAGATTGGCCACCGCGGTAGAGATGCCAGAGCCGGTTGCCCCCACAACTGCAATGGTGGAAGGGATATGTTCTGAGCAGTTGCAGAATTCATCCAGATTCAAGGAGTCTATCTTGTTCTGGGCCACAAAACTCAGTGTGGCCTCGAGGGCTTTAGAGACTGTATTGCAAGTGTCAAATATCCTGTATCCTAGAGTCATGTTGGGAAGGAGAGTTGGGCTACTGTTTATTTCTTCTATGGCAAAGATCATAGCCTGGAGCCAGCGGAAGCCTCGGAAATTATACCTGGGGGAGCAAAAATAAAAATAAAATAGAGTGAGAAGGAGGGAAACAGAGAGGAGACCAGGACTGAGACAGAGTGAAGAATTTCAGATACAAAAGGCAACTTACATGATTTCTTGCATCCTACTAAATTTGGAAAGTTTTGTTTTTGTGTTCAGTGGTTACAGAAGAAGCATGTATATGCCATCATATGCATATGTATATCTGGTTCCCACCTCTTCAGTTTGGGAGCTCACTACAGAAGTTGTAAGGATGAGTTGAACTTTTCTAAGTCCCTAAAGTATAGGAAAGTCGAAAGAGAGCATGCCAGGGGTGTTGGCTCTGGCCTGTCCCTTCTGCTCAACCTGGATCTTGTCATTCCTGAACAAATTCTACAACACAAAGCTACACCAACTGGGTTTCTTTCCAGGCTCCTCTGACATGTTTCTGAATGCAGATGGCAGTGTCTGCTAAGCCTGTGCTGAGCGCGATGCTGCCAGGGACTTGGGCTCAGGGATACTCAGCGTTCCAGCTCCTCCTGGCCTGAGGCAGGCAGAGCGAGCTGAGACACAGCACTGCCGTGCCCCGCGATGCAAAGGCGCCCGGGAGCTCTGCTTGGGGAAATCTGGCCTCACATCACACACTTCACACTGTGAGAGGGTGCCCCAGAAGGGCACAGTCAACCTGTTTATACCAAAGAACAGAGACATGTTATAAATGTAAATCCCCGCTTCCTCACTTGTTGATTAGATACTTCAGTGTTTTCATTAAAGGAATAACTTTTCTCTTCATTATACTGCTGTCATACATTTGTTTTAGACGCAAGCTCGGAGATGCCATAAGAGCTGGACTGTGAAATTGAAAAAGTGTTTTTTGAAGCTTCCTCTGTTCTCTAAAATGGAGCAGCTGAGTTTTCTAACTCTCGCCCTTAGCTCTGCATGGAGCCAACCCAGAGCTGGGGAACGGTAGCAGGAGTGTGCTGGGGGACCTGGGAGTCCCTGTTTAGAGCATCGCCTGGGCTGGCAGGGAAAGAAGCTGGTGAGTGACTACTTATCCAAAAAAGAGAGATGCTTTTTTTTTGTGGAAAGCAGCAGGAAGAAAGTTGCTTTGTTATGTGTTATTCTCAAATTTTACCTACTGTGTTTTCTCCTGTAAAGCTGCAAGAGCAATGGGTTGCGTGCCTGAGAAGCTGCCATGTTTTAGGGCAATTCAGCTGGAATGGCAGGATATTTCATGAACTGAAACCTGCCTTTCCCTGTAATGCACTATATGGGTCAGGTTAGCAGTTATGTTTGAATTTTCATGTTGAATTGCAGCTGCAGATGGGAAAGTGTCAAAATTGTAATACTTGAGATCCATTGGAAAAACTGATGGGCCCCAGAACTAGAAGAGCCTGGGGAAACAGCCCACCCAAGAACAGATTCTATATGAAATGGTAAATTTTAGGTTTCACATGAGTGCCATTGTGAAACATTTTGAGAGATGTTTCCGTTACAAAGGTGAAGATTTCTGAAGATAAGCTTCATGAAATCATGAGCTTCCAGTCTCTGAGACACACGAATGGAACATTTTTTAATTGCTGGATTAAATGAGTTGCTTCCATAGTTGATGTTAGCTATGTCTGACTTCTTTAAAGCTGAATTAACATAGCCACATTACTTCCATTCTAGGAGTTTAATCTGATTTATCTGGGATCAGATGTTCTAAAGATATCACATCTAAGGTTTATACTTAAGTCTTAAAAATTTAATGTATTCATTTCACCTGCTGCAGACATATTTGGCCAATTTCCAAATGAGGTTCTGCTCTGAGGTTGTACCTCAACGACCAGACAGCACAGTTTCATTACAAATCTCTTCAAGTCAAAAAGTTTAAGGTCAATAAAAATCCTTAGTTATAATTTATGACCGATGGGGACAGGTACCTATTTTAAAGTCACACTTAAGAAAACGAACACCATTTAGAACACATGAGCGTGAGTTATAGTTAGAAGTAATTTGGATTATTTTTTGCTCTAGTTCCAAAGCATTAAGGAGCGAGATGCAATGGAAGAGCTCTGAAATAAAAGGAGAAGTCTCAGAGTGAATGAGGCAGGGAGTGTTGGCACAGACAACAGATATGCCAGGCACACCACCCTGCCTCCAGTGGTCAGTAATGCTGGGATGAATGGCAGCAAAAAGGGGTTTTGTGACACTTCTTTTTAAAAAGCTAAATGTATTAACAGAAATTTTTCATTAAAATAAAACTAGGTTTTGAAGCAAGGAACTATATCCAGGCTCCTCATGTAAAAGAGAAAAATCTGAAAGCATTTTCTATATTTAAAGGGAAGACTGCTGAGTAGCTGGGAAGTTCAAAGGTACCGCTACGCCACTGTGAAAAGCTGCACACATTTGAGTATGATTATGCAGGTGGAGTATGACACAGAATTATTTTGCCTACTTGACAGCAGTTTGGCTTATTTTTTTTTTAAATGCAGCAAGGTGATATCTTCATAAGCAGTGAGAAATGGATTGTCATCTCCTTGACTTCAGAGAATATGTTTGCCATTTAATTCAGTAGATGCAGACTTAGGCCCATGACGCACAATTGCTTTTATTTTCCTTTCTGGCATATGTTCCTGATGAATGTTCATTTCCAGCATAAGGCCTGTACTTCAGGTACTACAGTTTGGATTGGTTTTGTTTTGGAGGGGAAAAGAGAGCAGGGGGTGTTTTCTGGGAACTAGATTCTAAAATGTCTTTGAAATGCTTTTGATAATTTATCTCAAACTAGCCTGGGCAGGTGACCTGCAGTTCTCTTCAGTTGCACCTCTGCTGATAGCTGCATCAGCAGATTGGGAGAAGAGGATCAGATGGGATGGAGACAAACACACCTCACTGTCTTTTCTAACACCTGACAGAACTTCAGACAAGGTCTCATTTTGTTAACTGATACAGTGCTGTATCAGTACTGTACCAGAGCTAACCTGGTTAGATGGTTCTGGTCAGATGAAGGCAGTGCCACTAAACTAGTCTAAATGAAGCAAGATTTTGCGTTTCCTTCCATCACTGTGAATGGAAAATGTGTGGATACATTTTCTCCCACTATAATGTAAGGCCCCAGCAAGGGGCTGCAGATAGGCTCCTCTTGGCTTGCTGTGTACACGAGTGATGGGTAAGAGCAGGCTTTGAACCTGGCAGCAGGTTACACTGATCCAGCTGACCTCCTGTGCGATGCTGCTGCCGTGACTAATATGACTAGTCACTGGAATGCTCTGCCAACCGTACAGAAATTTGATCAGTAATTTCCATGAAGAAATTGCAAAGGATTTGCTAACAGAAGCAAACCTTTCATTAGACTTCCAGAAGCTTTAAATGGCCACTGACGTTTTCTTGGTGGAAAATAAGCAGCCTCCAAAACTTATTTTCTGCCATATTACTCTGCAGGTACGTTGGAATAGTCTTGTGTTTTAACATTTCTGAGATGTGGTGCTATGAAAAGTGGTCACTGAGTTCTAAATGACAGTTTAATGTAAAAAATTCAGTTCCCAAAGGTGCAGGTAGGAATTTTCATTTACACTCAGCTCTTTAAATGTTTCCCCTGTCATGTCTGTTCTCCCACTTGTCAGAGTGTGCAACCCACTGATCTTTCTGTTCCCGGGTAGGAGCACAAACAAGAGCACAAAGAGAAATCAGGAACAATTCCTCCACAAATCCTCGTCTTAATCTTCACAACTTCAGGGGACAGATTATCTTTGCAGTGGCCCAGCTTGCTAGATAGTAAACTCACTGATTCCTGTAGGTTTCTTTGTAGTTGGTATACATGTGTCCATCCAGGGGTGCTCAGGATGGCTTAAATGTCTCAGTCAATGTTACAGAGTAAGGGTATATGATCTAAGTGACATAAACTGCATGGTTTGAGCTCCCTGTAGCTCCATCCCCTGTTTGGCTGTTTGTTTCTTTTTCTGGTTTGGTTTGAACAGCTCACACTGTCTGGATCCAGCAGGGAAGCTAGTCCTGATTCCTGTTAGGCTCCGCAGAGGAACAATTCGCAGCCTTGTGTGAATTCATGACCTTCATTTACCAAAACTAAACTGAAAGCAATAGAATACGAAGGAAAAGAAGAAAGTAATGTGAAAGCTCTAAATACAGCTTTCCCTTACCCTCTCATATCCAACGGGTACTTTTATTTAAGAATGGTCACAAAGCCTGCATATGACTCTCGGCTCACCCCAGTACTCCTCTTTCTCTAGTGGTTGTATGCACATACTAATTTCCCTGTTCTCTCTAGATTTCCAGTACATTAATTACATGTTATTGCTGCTACTACCATTGCTATTACTAAGCTATGCAGAGGGGAGACCTTCAGTTGTTTGTCAGATTCCTGCAGTCAGTAGGTATAACGAGTTGCTTACCGCTCTTATAAGCTAGGTAAAGGGAAGGGTAATTCTACAGACCAAAGAAAATTAAAAATTAAAATTCAGAAGGCGGGTGGAAAAGAAAGGAAAAGGAAATAATTTGGTCTTAGGGAGGAAGTTCTAAATAACATGTTGTGCATTCAGTTCTCTAGTGGGATTAGCAAATACATGCACAAGGAGCAAAATTAAAATTCTCTTTTGTCTCAGACGGACAGACAGACTCAGTAAACAAGTGTCCCGGAGCCATGCTGTGTGAAGTCCTGCACTATGACATGGGGATGATGTCTCACCACAGTTTCACAGCCTGAAAGCCATGCATCACAGCGTGGGGCCTTGGCTAGACTGCTGATCCAAATATGGGGAATATGCATTAAAAATGACGACCCAGTGACACCACATTGGCAACACTGTATCTCAGCTCAGTAAAGACACCTTCTCATTGCATTGTTACAGCAGGAGGAATCTATGGGTATCACCCGTCTGTGCAATAATGCCAACAATAATACTAGCTGTACTACCACCACCACCACTGCTAATCTACCTGAAATCAAGAAAGAACAGAGAAATCAGGTTATGAATAGGCTGCTGTGGGTGATGACAGGGAATGGGGGTCAGGGACTGCTTGTGC